CAACACACCGAGGAGCTGCTACACAGATTTGAAGGTGAAGATTCACACATTTACACCGTTTGTGGAAATTGTGACACGTTTTGAGTGTGAAGGTGAGGTCGTGTTACAGTGACTAAAGCAGGGGTGTCAAACATATGGCCCGCAGGCCAGAACTGGCTCACTAGGAGGGTTTAATCCACCTCACTTGATGAATTTCAAAAGTGGAAAAAAAAAAGCACAAACACTTTGTGTTTGTGATGTTTGTGATGAAATTATATTTCATTAACAATGAGTATTTTCCAATACATTTTCTTGCAGGAAAACAAAGGGGAAAAACATGGATTTATAGGTAATTATGTGAAACTTACAGGTGGGCACAGTAGCTGTCTCTTGTGTCCATCCACCTGAACCCACAGAGCTGGTCTGTTATTTACAGTCCAGTCTGGGAGTTCATAAAAATGTCACAATACCTTTGAAGTGTCATGAACACTGGCTTTATTTTTGTATTGTGTCCCTGCTTCACACAAGTCAAGGGGAGACCACTCCAGGGTCCTGGGCTTTTCAGATTGCTATTGAACCAAGAAGTCAATTTCCCAGCCGGTCAAACAGCACCGTGTCTAATCTATCAGGAATCAATACGACCTATAGATCAAGCTCAGAGAGGAAAAACCTAGAGCAGAGGCTTGAGTGATAAGCAGCGACCTGATGACGGATACAATCAAATATTGCAGACTTTTGTTTAGGAGCAGGAACAGACTGTTTACAGGCCGGTGGCCGCCTGCTGACAGATCCAAATCAGGAGGTCCGTGTGTGTGTGTGTGACTGTGTGTGTGTGTGTGTGGCTTCTTCCACTCAGATAAACTGTGACCTTTACTGGAGTAAGGAGGCCATGAAAGCAATCTGCTTGTGTAATTACCTGTCAGGAGGGAGCCTGTTACTGCTGAGGAAAACACAGCATATCAGCATCTAATCTACAAAGCACAGGTGATAACCGTGTATGTAGCGACGGCGGCGGCGGCGGCGTCTCTGTGAAGGTGAGACCTGCACCCGGGCACATTACAGTACCTACATGGGATAATTAATTAACTGGAGACTGGAGGTGGGTTCTGTGATGAGGGGTGTGGTTCATCACACAGGGTTTACCGTGTGTTAAACTGTGCCTGAGTTAAAACGCTCCATGTGCCGTGGGGGAGGAGGGGGAGGGGGGAGGGAGGGATGGAGGGGGGGAAGGAGGGAGGGAAGGAAGGAAGGGTGGAAGGAAGGAAGGGTCATGTGCCACAGTAATTGTTCTTTCCTTAAATAGCTGCTGTCATAGTTACTCCCTGCCTGTGGGCAGGTTGTTAGAATACATTGGCACCTGAAGCCTTAAAAAAAAAAAAAAAAAACTTTCTCAGGAGACTGTGAGGATTTCGTGAGCGGAGCAGAAAATGTGTGGATGCATGTCATCCTCCTGCATTTCTCTGTATACACGCCTCTTCCTGTCTCTGTGTGTGTGTGTGTGTGTGTGTGTGTGTGTGCACGTGTAAGCCTTCACACCTCACCTGCTTCTCGTTCTCGTCCTCCAGCCTCAGCCTTTCCTCGATGCAGTTTCGTGCTTGCAGGAAGACTTTCCTCTGGGCACGCTCAGTGAGAATCCGCACAAACACCCCCGACAAGTTGACGCTGGTGAAGAGCACGGCGTTGGCCACCAGCTGCACACGGACAAGATGAGACATGTCAAAGAAATGAACCGCGTCTGTCATTCATATCAAAACAGAGGGTCGCGGCCCCTTGGATTTTTTAAAGACTTCACTTGACGTGGATATGAGTTCGACTGTGATCCTCGTAGATACAAGTGACCAGATCAGCTGGTCACTGTTACATAAACCAGTGACAGAGCAGCAATTCACTGCGCACGATGCCACGGCCCAGACCGACTGCTGAGGTTCAAACCGAACGTCAGACGTGACCTGGTGGTTCGGGAAGCTGACTTGTGTCCGTAGGGTTGCAGGTTTGAATCCACCAGCCACCTAGTCCCACTGAGGTGATGGGTTAAAAGCAGAGGACACATTTCGCTGTGTACCACAGGGTCACCATGGGGTGCGGTGGATTCGAACCTGCGACCTTCTGGACACTTGTCAGCTTTGCTTTGTGTCAATGGTTTTACTTTGGTTTCCACCCAGCATTACATAAAGTTGGGAACTTTTTAACCCTTTATGGCTACTTGAATATTACACAACAACACCAGAGAGTCAAGGGTTCAATTCCTAGTAGAACCACATAATTGGTGCATGTAGCAGCAAATCTGCTGTCTGGTAATGACAGCTGATATTTGTGGCCCTGAATGAACCATCGATTTTCATAGCTGATATTTGTGGCCCTGAATGAACCGATTTTCACTGAAAAGATTATTTACTTAAGAAATTAGTAAAATAGTCAAGAGTTCTGGAACAGAAAGTCCATTCACAGTGGAGAATTTTCATTTTCAAAATGATCCTAAAAACAGAGCCATTTTATTTTGAATCCAAATTAGAACAAAACCAATGGAACTTTCAGAGGCAGATTAATGCAACAATACTGTGAATCACAATTCTGTCAGTCAGGATTGATCCTAAATTTAAGGTAAAGTCACTGCAGAAACACTAAGAAAACACACTTCATGTTCTGTACGGTTCATTTTGTGCCTAAAGAAAACCACAGATGGTCCATATTTGGACACGATCGTATATCCCGCCTGGATTAGACTGTAAAGGCCTTGATTAATCCATAGGAAGGATTGAGTGACAGGCATCAAGGTCAGCACATGGATTACAGCGTGTACCGTAGGTGTGACTCCTGCAGCAACAAAAGCCACAGGGCGACCATGCAGACAGACAAAGTGCTGCATTGATTAAAGATCAGAGGAGCACTTCATTTAGAGAAGGAACTCTGGCCTGTGGCCACCACGGGTCATCAATTTCACTAAAGGCCAGATGTCAGAGGTCACTGGGAGAAAGAGGCTCTAATCCTGCCCAGACAGATGGATGGAGTTCTCTCTGGGATGTGACAAGAAGGGGAAAAACCCCACAAAAATCTCAGATTTTTCACATTAAACTAAACTCACATTTATATCTATATTTTTTCTCAGATTTCTTTCTTAAAAAGTGATCTAAACGAGAGCAGCTGAACTTTATCTGATACGCCCCCTGCAGGGGAGGAAGAGTGAGTGCATGTGGTTTGTTTAAAACACCACAGTGGTGGAGAATTAGGACGATAAAATGTGCTGTGTTTAGCATTGATGATGAATGACAAAGCCACTCTTGTAATTTCTTTGATATAATTATTCCGTCAGCTTTTTAATTAAAAACTAGACTGCAAAATTAAAAGTGATTCACTGCTCATTATAGTCTATAAACTTTTGTAATCAGGAAAATAAAAATGAATCGCAGATACATTTGCCAAAACTGAATGTACCTCGACTGCTTTCCTGTACTCAGTGTTGATGTAGACTGACACACGGTGACGGCACAATGATCCAAACACCTTCAAATGTTCATCACAAACAGTTCTTTCCTTTTGAAAAGGTTTCTTGTGTTGTGACATATTTGTGATGTTACAGCTTTAACAGTCCTATTCTAATTCTTAGAATTCCTGAATCACTGTGGTTCAGATTACATTCGAACATCTGGTCTAATTCATCTAATGTTGATTAAAAAAAATAGTTTTTTTTATAAATTACAGAATACGTTGGTTGAATGGTTTTGCAGGTCACACATTTGGCACATTTTTTACTTTACCGAGGCGCCAGATAAAGGCCTATGACGAATATAATAATTACCTGCCATTGTATGTACAGTATTTTCATCATTTTGGTATCACGAAACAAACGTGTCACATTTAGAATCTCATTCAGATTTAATGGTCCTGTTAAGACAGAAACCAAGGTTAAAAGTGTAGGACTGTTTGTGTTTAAATAACAGCGTATTGACAAACATGTGGCGTCCGGAACAGTAATACGACCTCAGCACTGAGGCGTGAGTGTGCGTGGAGCCGCAGGAATCCTCAGCAGCCGGTTTCAGCACCGGAGGCTGGACAGCTCCTCGCTCGCTTCATTACTGAAGAGCGACTTTTTTTTTTTTTTTTTTTTGCTGTTTCCAGTTAAACAAAAAACAAAGGCTCCGTCTGTCTGTCTGTCTGTCTGTCTCGGCCGGCAGCTAAGAATCGATCAGTGAGACTGTTTCTAACCCCCGCGTCTCCGCGGATGTCGGAGGAGTTGAGCAGTCAGCGCGGAATATCAGTCCAACTCTTCGACGCTAGAAAAGTTGCTCTAGGGCACCAGAAACTCAGTCCCGCCACCTGTTTGAGGATGTGGCTGTAGTGTCAAACACAACACTTACCGGTCTCCAGATCCTCTGCCTTTTTCCTGTGACCGAGGTGGCTATAACAATGAAATGGGACGCAGCCAGCATCACACCGAACAACACGGCCAACAGCGTCCGCACCGGCAGCAGCACGTAAGCAACGAGTGTGACCAGCATCAGCTGCCACACTCCTTGCTCGGGGGCAGCGGCGTTCAGCGGCTCCACGGCGCCCAGCGCCAGCGGAAAGGGACAGCAGAGCAGCGCGAAGGTGAAGCTGAAGAGCAGCGCCAGCTTAGCGATCTGCTGCAGCTGCGTCACCTGCAGGTACTTGACGTTGGTAACGATGAACAGCGACAGGAAGACCACGCAGTGCACCGGGTAGGAGCCCTTGGACAAGGTGAGGCGCGGGCTGGACAGCAGCTCCACCAGAGCCAGGCAGGACGCGGCCACGATCAGCACCGCCAGCGCTTTGAGGGTGGCGGTCTGCTCCAGCTTCAGGTTGTAGCTCTGGAACAGCGCCTCCAGCTCCTGGCTGTTGAACTCGTCCTCGCAGGCGATGACGCCCAGGGGTGCACCGACCGGACAGTGACCCTTCCTCCGCCGCGTCTTGACTCTTTCGAATGGCATCTCCTCCATGTTCCGGCCATTCATGAAGCGGGGATGGTGCACGACCCGCTCAACTTTTTCGGCTCCTCTCCTTCACTCGGGAATTGAACCGGCGACCTCTCACGATGCATGCGTCCTGGATGCCCGTGGAGATCGAGTAGACTTGGACGAAGGGACAAGGGTGGCAGTGGAGGAGGAGGAGGAGGAGGAAGGAGAGCAACCACCGCCGTGCGAAGCTCTCTATCCACAGGTTGACGATTGTTGGTGTGTCGTCAGAAAAGTGGCCCGACCAATGTGGAGCACGCCTCTCTCTCTCTCTCTCTCTCCCTCCCCTTCGCTCTCCCTCTCTCTCCCTCAGACCACATTCACAACAAGGATCGCGCGTGCGTTTGTTGTTGATCAAAACACCTGGGGAACACGGACAATTAACCTCCCAAATCAACCACCTGTCGGTCACGTGTCGCTTTAATCGCCTCTCTCCAAATAAAGTCCTCCATCATAAGGAGGGTCGGTTCGAATCCCGTAAAAAAATTCTGGTTCTGGAGACTCTTAACTGTCAAATAAAGAGAGAGGGGGAAAAAAAACACAAAACAAGAACCCTGGCCAGGCTCTCTGAGGCATGATGTGGCGGGGGGGGGGGGGGGGCGGGGGGGTTAGAGTTGGAGATTGCTGATTCTCACCACAGATGAATTTGTACAAAAGCCTATAAAATAAAATCCGGCTGCACAAGGAAAATACAGACCAGTGTTTACACCACAGTGTCCCCAGGTGGCGCTGAAAATGAACACGCATGCTGTCTGGAGTCAGAGCCGCTGAAGTTCCCGGCTAAAAATAGTGCAGCTGCTCCAGTGAATTGTCCAATACAGCAACAATTCGGTTTGGTCTTCCCCACATCTCACCCCCTCAAACATTTGAACGGCGGAGGAAAGGTGTTTATTTCACACCTGAGATTAACAGCAATGGGAGGAAGGAGAGAAGAAAGTTGGCTGTAAAAAAAAAAGCCTCAGAATGTAAGACTGACTATGAAGCTGCAGCTGCAATCATGATGCAATGTCTCATTGTCTGATGTTGGAGATTTTTCAATAATTAACTATTTAAATCTACCATATATTTTGTGCTAAAATACCCCAAACGTTTTTATGACATAAATCTGTTTTTACGATGCTGTCAGTTTTTGTACAATTAAAATTGTTTTAAAAAAAAATCAATACATCATCATGCATACAGTATCACAATATATCGTATTGTCCCTGTATTGTGATATGTATCGTATCGCCGGATTCTTGCCAATACACACGTCTACCAGATTTGGATAAAAGACTTCAAACACGTCAACCTGGTCCTTTTACCTCCACACACCTGCAGATTAGCATCGTTACCCCTCACACACAAGTGGGTTTCTGGGTCAACTAGTCACAGAGCGCTAATCTGAGACCAACGACGGCTCCACTCTGTTTGGACCAAACATTTCCCCCTGTTGAAATTCAAAACTTTGTAAAATATGAGCACAGGGAACAGCAGGAACCGGTGAATTAGCAGGAGCTTAAACAGTTCCCAGACACGGCTGTGTGAATGTAACCTAACAAAAGTAGAAAATGATTGAGACACATGTGAGCGGTCCATGATGTGCAGTGTTGTCTCACCTGCAGAGACAGAGTGTGAGTTTTCACTTTCACTCCAAATGTGTTAATTAAAAGACTCTGTGGAGTTGTTGTTTTTTTTATTTAAGTTACTGTAAGTCAGTGGTCGACCACATGTTCAACGTCTAAAAATATAATGAAGTGTGTTTTTACACTTTATCAGTTCTGTGGGAACAGGTTGTAGGATAGAAGAGAATCACCATGTTAACGGTCCTAGTACAGATAGACAGTAAAATTGGTCTTCAAGCAACCCATCGCAGTGAAGCAGTACAGCCCAGAGAGTGGTGGATGCCCAACATAAAGGTGGCAGGACAGTATTTGTACTTTTGATTCTCAGATCACAGGCTGGATCTACTGTGTGGTCATTCAGGATTTTTATGACCAACTTCAAAACATCCCATAATATCACGTAAGACCAAAACTGTATTTTCTTAAAATGTTACAACTGTTTCTATTCTTGTAAACGTATAACTATTTTCTTTTGTAATGTTAGGACTTTTTCTCGTATACTTACAACTTTATTCTTAGAATTTTCAAACACTCCAATGTACATTCACACACTAAAGCAACTCTGCTGCCCCCTACCCTCCGCTCCCCCCGTCAGTCAATGCAGTTCAGTCATGGAGTGAATAGTCTTTGCTACTTCCAGTAGATTTTGTTTCCAGTAGAAAAGTTTCACAATTCATGCCGTGTCACGGACCGATCCGTCTTTATTTGCCTCATCGTGTTCCTGTTTTATTAGGACAATTTTAATGTCAACCTCAGGCACATGAGCAACTCCGGCTGAAGATAAATCGGTTCCAGTGGAATAAACAAATGAATCCACCTTTAGGCTCTTCATCATCTGAGCCGCTGTTTTCATTGGTGCTGTGGTGTAAACTACAGTGAGAAGATGGAAAAAATGTAGGGTCGTGGCCCAGTGATGGGTCTGTGTGGCGTCAGAGATCATCCTGATGTTGACGTATTCATGATGACCAGATATAGACCATGATGCCTCAACATTACGTCAGCACCTGCTTGTTTTTAGGTGGAACTGGAGGTGGAGGTGGAGGGGGAGTTAAATTAAAGCCCTTCCCTTCCAGCAGCTCAATCAGAATAGAAGCCAAAAATAACAGGGCTTTTAACCCCAGCCTAAAATAGCTCCACTCAGATGCTGGAGCCGTATGTGTCTTTTTCAGAGGATAAGTGCAGCTCTTTTAGTCGCCCTGACACTTGACCCTGGTTTTCTGTCGCACATGCGAGCGCCTCAGATTGCCGGGCTCCACGCAAACGTCGATGTATCGGCTGGTCAGTGAAGAGGCATTGTGAAGCTCTGTGGTTTCTGTGAAAACAAAGTCTCTGCGTGCACACACTCAGACGCTGCTTGGTCAATATCCGTCGTCATCCGGCTTTAGTGTTAGAATCGATGAGGCGCAAGATCTCAGCAGCTCTGTGGAGAAATGTAATCTCTTCTTTTCACAGTATAATAACAGAAAATAGTAAATATTTATCAGGATAATTTAGACGGGAATAAACATTGAGAAAAAAAGATGAATTAACTGAAATCTGATCATATCAATACTGAAGACTGGACGTGTGACCTTCAGGGGTCAGTTTTTTATTTCTTTCTTTTGACGGGGATCACGTCTAATCCCAAGTCTTTCCCAGGTCCCAGGTCTTTGGAGATCTGGTTCTACCTCATCAGGACCAGATTTCCGTCCCTGCTGGCTCTGCTGGTTCTGACGGCGTCTGTGCTGGTACCAATGGAGGTCTTAATGAGGTAACAAGTGCACACGCAGCTCCATTTCTGTTTCTCCTGAATTAAGTGACAGCTGCAGATTTTTTGGACAACCCCTCCCTCCAGGATTCCTGACGGTCCCCCGTAGCCATGGCAACAAAGGCAGCGAGCCTAGTAGTTGTGACTGATGAGGCTGCTGAGGTGTTTCCCAATCTGACACTGAGGTTTCCTCTCTTCATCTTTTGTCTCTCCCCGTCTGCCCCCCCCCCAAACCTCCCCTTCAGTCCCGCTCTCTTTTTCAGGTTCTTTTAAACAACAAACACAGCTGATGTGTTTGTGTCTGTCTGCGGCGCCGTGACACCGTGCCCTGCCCCGCTGGCTCATTGTGCTCACTGACATTTTTCTCCACATTGAGGCTCTGACACGGACGGGGGACCGGTGCAGATGAAAGCCTCAGAGGTGACAGAGACGAACAGAGCGTGTGTGCCTGTGTACAGCCAGTAAAGTCATGAATTTATTATAAACTTTCAAATGTCACGGCAAGTCCTGCGCCGCCACAGACCAGGCGACCCCTTTGATTGGCTGCCTGCCCTGTTCACACACAGCCAGTCCAGTCATGGATTCAGGGTGAGAAGAGGAGGAGGAGAACTGGAGACTGTTCTGAGACGTGTGTCTTGCGAAGCCAAAGGATGAAAATACAACCGCTGCAGCGACCTGTCAGTACGCAGGTTAACCATTTGTCCAAAGTGAAGGCATGTTTCATGGATACACACTCCCAGAAAAGGCAAAATATTCTGCTCTTAACTGCTGTGTCGGCCCTTACAGGTTTATGACTGCTCCAACCGTGCT